GGGGGGGGGGGGGGGGGGGGGGGGGGGGGGGTGATACTAAAAGTTTGCCCAGAGCTGCTAGGAGTCTAGGTACAGTGCTGTTTGGGCAAAAAGTGTGGCTTATATGTGAGACAAGGTAGACAAAGCCTACCTTGTCTGATTCAAATAATTCCCAGCTTTCTCTGGCCGTAACAGCCAATCTGCTCCATCCACTGCACTTTTGAAATGCTCCCCTTTTGAAAGGGTCCTCACTGGACACGTGCCCACACCCAAATATCTTAATTAATTGTTTTCTCTTTTCCTGAAGCAAATGGACCAATGGAAACCTTTTCTATTTGCTTCTTTTGAGACGCTGTGTCTCCAGTTGGGTGTTTTGTCTCTGGCTCGGCCTCCAAAATCCTCTGAAGCCCTTTGACATGAAAACAAATGGAAGGTCAAACAGAAAAAAAATCTCCCCGCTCGTCTCCAATGCAACTGCCAAACTGTTCACATTGAGAGAAGCAAAATGCGACATATGGCTAAGTTCAAATTCGGGGGGGGGGGGGGCCCGGGAAGTTCAAATTCGGGGGGGGGGGAGTCCTGGAGATGTTTTCAACATGGTAAGCCATGAAAACCCACCCTTTCCCGCATGATCTGCCAAATACATCATCTTTGCCTTGGAAAATTCCCGAGTGGCTGGAAGTTTTCCCCTTCCCTCAAAGCCTTGGACTGAGGATAGGTTTGTTCTCATTTGCTGGCCACATAGTAGCTAGGGATATCAAGATAAACAGCTCAAATAGTCAATGACTCTTTCTCAAATCTGATTGAATTTTTTCCTTCAAAAATGCCCTTTTTTTGGTGCAATCCAAAACACTCTGAAAATTCTCTTTCAGGATCCTGAGGAACCAAAAATGTTGAATTTCATTAACATTTCCACTACTGGACATGCTCCCCCTTGTGCAGCTCATTGGAGCCCAATGAAGGATGTCTACCTTTGGGGTATTTTTGTCCCACTATGTCCTGGTTTTCTACATTCTGTTCAGTAACTTTTCCAAATTTCCTCTATTTTGGCAAAATTATACACTGTCGAAAAGGGAAATGTGGTATTATCGATGATGAAGGGAATTGTATTGTGATGCCCCTTTATACATCCATGGGGCATCCACACCTTGGATACTGCACCCAGGTCTGGTCCCCACACCTCTAAGAGGATATAGAAGAACTAGAGAAGGTCCAAAGAAGGGCAACAGGGGTGACGAGTGGCATAGAGGGGCTTCCATATGAGGAGAGACGAATGAAGCCAGGCCTTGTTAGGTTAGAATAGAGACATCTGAAGGAGGACAGGAGAAGGGTTTACAAAATACCAAAGGGTGAAGAGAAAATCAACAGGGAATTTATTCTTGACTGTTTCTCACCAGACAAGAATTGAGGGATCAAACATGAATTTAGGAGGTTGTTGGCTGATAACAAACACCAGAAAGGTCCTTTTCAACCAGCATGGCATGGAAGGGTGGGACTTGTGGCCAATGGATGTGCTGGAAGCTGAGAGTGTAGCCAGATCCACCAAGGGATTGGACCCGTTCTTGGAGGAAAGAGGCATCAATAGCTATTCAGCATGATATGAGCATGGCCTCTGAATCAGAACTTCTTAACCATCAATGCTGGAGGCTGCTGGGGGAGAGTAGCAGGGGAAAAAACCCTTGTCAGACCCAGCTCACTCTCCCTTCTAGCCTGTGCTTCTGTGGGAGACAAGAGACTGGGCAACATGGTTTCATGCTCTTAGAACATGTTGAAAGCCAAAAAAAAATGCATATCTAGGACTCCTGAGAAGTTTTAAAAAGTTACAGGTAATAACAGAAGTCATAAGTAATAACAGAGAAAGTAACAGAATCATAGAAAATGATGGTTGGAAGGGACGTCAGGAGGTCACATCTAGCCCAACCCCTGCTCCAAGGAGGACCAGCCCCAATGAGATCATCCCAGCCAATGCTTTGTCTAACAGGGTCTTCAAAACCTCCAAGGATGGAGAGTCCACAATCCCTATGGGTGCTTCACCACCCTCCTTGTGAGAGAATTTTTCCTAATATCCAACCTCAAACTCCCTTGCTGCAGCTGGAGCCCATTGCTTTTTGTTCTGTCATCTGCCCCACTAAGAACAGTCCAGCTCCATCCTCTTTGGAACCACTTTTCAGGGAGATAAAGTCTGCTATTCAATAGTAGAGTAATATTACTGTAATAATACAAACATATCTATCCTCCCCCTCAAAAGCAGGGGGGGAAATCCCCGGGATATAATTCATATTATTTCACTCTGGGAACCATATAGGAGGGAAATCGAAAGGAAGCCAAGGAAGGATGGGAAAAGAAAGCATTTGTGGGGTCAGAATGCCTAAAACTCAAGAGCTCATTTAAGCTGGAAACAGTGATGTCACATAGGGGGTGCACGAAGGTGCACATGCACCCCAAGAGCGCTGGTGCACCCTCTGACAGGTGCATTTCCTGCTTAGGCGACAGGCAGGGGTGGCAGGCGAGAGCACCAGTGTCCCCACCCCCGTGAGCACCAGCCAGGGGGTGGGAGTGCTAGATGAAGCATCATGGCCACTTCCAGAAGCGCTGTGGCTACTTCACAGTCAGCGTGATCAGGGCCTGCCTGGTCAGCGAGATTGGCTGAGGGGGAGACCCCCCCGGTTGCTGACTGGTTGCTGGGGGGCACATGCTCCCCCTGACTAAGGTGGCACCAGTCACCCATAGTTGGAAATAGGCTTCAGGAAAGGTTTGGTGGGGGGTGGGAAAAATTACATATTGTTCTATTCTAAGACTTCCAAAAAATGGAAATGAATGTTTAAGACGACACTATTTTCTCACCTACGCCATGCCCCCAGATAAGACAGGCAAAAATGAGGAAGAAAGATTGTTTCCAGAGTTGTGGCCAAAGCCAAATGAGTGGAGAAGCTCACTTGTCCTCAGCCACTGTCAAGTTGACAGCAGCTTTTGGCAGCTCTGCCAAAACCTACCATCAATTTGGAAGGGGCTGTGACAGGGTTAATATGAACTCTGATGCTGCAGTGTGCATTCTGCTCTCCCACTTGGTAGTCTGGGAGAGAAGCAGGGATGGAGTAATGTCCCTGTGAAGTTGTTATAGTGTCTCCATGCTTCTGTTCTGGGGCAGAGATGGGTTTCCCTGCTCAAGACCCAGTTGTGGACAGCTGATTTGGGCGGAAAGGTGCACCCAGTATACAAATCAATACAGTAATATTATTATGACCTTTTCTGCCAATTCTACCCATGACCACTACTGGATCAGCACTGGTGTCACCTAGGAGGAGAGCCAGGAACATAGAGGTGATACTTACTGCAGAAGGTGGTTGATCTCCACTGCCTGATCTGGATGCCTTGAGTCTGGCAGGCTGTGACATAGGCACCGATGATGCTGCAGAGAGTGTCACGGTGACCCTTGTACAGGCAGGTGTCGAAGACGCAGTCCTCAAAGAAAGGCGCAGGGTCCAGGACCCCATGGCATGCCTGGAAAGGCCCATCCTTTCTGGTGAGGACTCCACAGTACTTGTCACCCTTGTAGGGAATCTTCTCCGCCTCGGTACAGACTGAACAGTCCCCGGTACAGCCTGCCAAACACCCGGGCACCTCCCCCACCTGCCAGCTGTTGGCAAACTGGACCTCATCAGATGCCTGGCTCCCATTTTTCATAGTGAAGTCATCATCGGGGTTCCCGTTGGCATTGCCACACAGGCCACAAACAGCATTGGCGTAGGTAGTGGGGAGGATTACCCGGGCATAGCTGTACCAGTCAAAGCTCACCCGCATGTCAAAATTGGTCTTGATGAAGCCATGGACACCACTGATGTAAGCCTTGAGCTTGTCCTGGTGGGAGAACGGGAGCTCCACAAAGACGCCATCAACCTGGGAAGAGAACACATGGAGGAGCTGGTCAGTGGTCCAGCACTGGACCATTGACCTAGAGAGGGCTTGGGAAACAAGTCCTATGAGGCAAGGCTGAAGGAGCTGGGCACGTTCAGCTCGAGGATATGGCACTGAAGAGGGGACATGAAAGCGGTCTGAATGTACTTGAAGGGCTGCTATAAAAAGAGGGAAAGCGCCTTTTCTCTCTGGCTCCAGAAAGGAGGATGTGGACCAATGACTTAAAGTTGAAGCAAAGGAGGTTGAGGTTGGATCTGAGTAAAACATCTTCCCTCTTAGAGCAGAGGCAGTGGGAGAGATGCCCAGGGGAGCTGGGGACTCTCCATCAGTGGAGGGGTTCAAGGAGAAGTTGGATGAACACTTGGAGGGGTGTGATTTAGGTATAGCTAGGCCTACAGCCAGAGGAGTTGTGACCTCTCCATCACTGGAGGGTTCAAGGGGTTGGACAGTCACTGGCTGGTGATGAACTCCATACTGCAATGTCTGTACTCTGCCATGGGGATGTCCCAGGTTTCTGGGTTTTTCTGGTTGTTCCTGTCCCCACTTTCTGTTCCATGTGTCAGGGTATTTTTAAATCTTCCCCAGGAGCACTAGATGGTGGCCAGGCTGGGAATGGGGACTGGGCTGTGCCAATGCTCCTGATGGGACCAACCCTGGTGGGTCCTGGCCAGAGGGTCTTGCACCTCTGCTCAGGCTCAGACCGATGCCAGATTTGGAGTGAGGAAGGAATTTCCCCCCTGGTCAGATTGGTATGGACTGGCAGGGGAGGGGGGGTGCCTTCCTCTGTAGTGGGGGCACAGCCTTTACCTGGGGTCTCTTGAGTGTCTATGAACAGCTTTCTACAGCAGCAGGTCATTAGCCACTGGTGTCCCCCTGCTTTCCCTGTGGCACAGTTGAGTGTGATCTCTGGTGTTGTGTCAGGGTTGATGATAGTTGTACGAAAAGTTTAGATGCTGGATGTGTCTGGGGTAGTTTGGACAGAGCTGATCCTGCCTCAGGCAGGGAGTTAGACTAGAGGTGACCTCTGGAGGTCCCTTCCAGCCCCACTTCTCTAGGACTATGATTATAAGTCTATGAGAGACTGTGGATTCTCCATCTCTGGAAGTGTTCAAGAGCAGGTTGGATAGACACGTGGCTGGGTTGGTTTGGAGTGGGCTGGTCCTGTAGCTATGACCTCCTGAGGTCACTTCCAGCCTCCCTTTCCCATGACCCTATGAGGTCACAAATAATTTTGTCCCTCTTAGAGTGTGTTGCTCCATGGACTTCACATACTATTCTTGAATCTAATTCCCATAGAGTCAACAGCCCTTCATTCATTGAGTCTAGTATTCTTGAGTCTAAATCCTGTAGGCTTTACAGATTGGGCTGGTTTAGTCTGGGACGATTCAGCCCTGAGCAGAGGGCTAGACTAGACATGATCTCTTGAGGTCCCTTCTATCTCTATGTTGTCTTAATTCAGTCACTCTCAACCTGGGTCCTTTGTGAGCCTTTCAAGGGTACTACACAATATGAGCCCTGTGGGGTGAGCAAACATGATTCATGAGATAGACTTGGAGATTTCCAACAGATGTTAAAACTCTTCTTCCATGTTGGGGTCTTTGAGTTATTGTCAAGAGAAAAATTGCTCAAGGACTTTTCTGTCGTCAAAGCCAGGGTAGAAACTAAAAGCTAACGAGTCTAAGAAGGGGCTGAAGCCAGAAGAGATGGCCTCTGTTTAAGGGTTCATAGAATTATGTAAAAATGATGTTCCTTGCAATTTGGTTCACAGGGAAAGCCCAGAAGTGGTCAAAGAGCTGGGGCAGTGGTGCCTAATTTTCTGGACTCATGGGATGGATGAATGGCATGGGGTCAGTCCATACATGAGATCCTGCATGGGGTCCATGTGTGGGGTTGGCCCATGGGCTTGATAGCATGTGGCTGGATTCTGCCCCGGCCCAGTCCAGCCCTGATTCAACACCCAAACCCAGCCATGGCCACTGCTTCCCCACCAAGAAATTCCTGGACTCTTGGGTAACGCCATGGACTGGATGACATGGCTTCAGGGGCCAGATCTGGCTTGTGGGTCAGGAGTTGATTGCCCATGACACAACATCAAGTCCAGAACTGTTCAAAATTGTTCTCTTCCCCTCTAAGTGTTGCTGGATTTCATGCAAATCTGTAAATAGTTCTTCCTCCACCTGAGCTGCCTTGGCCAACTCTTTCATGACAAGAAGTTTGCGGGTCTCCATTGACAACAGGGTTGTAAGACCAGGACACATCTGGGATGATTTGGTTAGGGTTGATCCTGCCTCTGGCAGGAGGTTGGACTAAAAGTGACCTCTGGAAGGTCCATTGCAACCCCACATCTCTATGACTGTACAACTAGGACTCTATGACAACTTAAATCTCTGCTTTTCTATGACTCCATAACCAACTTTATGACCTCTGGAAGTCCCTTCCAGCCCAACTTCTCTATGACTAGGATTCTATGACCACTGGAGGTCCCTTCCATTTGTGTTTCTCCATGACTCTGTGACTGTGACCTCTGGAGCGCCCTCTAGCCCTCCTTCTTTATAATTCTAATGAAAAAGTGTGTTTACCCTAAACAGGGGATAGATGGGTTGAGGTGTCATGAGGTATCTGAATGCCTTAAAAGGGGGTTCTAGGATAATGGGGACCAGGTTTTAAACACCCATTGTTTAAAACCAAGTGCCAGCAAGGATAACTTAGCTCTCATCTTGACACTAACTCAGGAGAGATTTTGGGTCTAGTTTAGGTCCTCCTGGGCGAAAGGGTTTTCAAGACGGAGGGTCGACAGGTTTGGTGTGGGAGGTGGGATGCAGACATGCCCACTCCTAGTTGTTTTGTACCTTCACTTTCCGTGGGTGCTCCTGGCTCAAGGTGAAAGTAATGCCATAGACCTCCAGGGTCACTGTCTTGGTATAGGACACGGCCCTTTTGCCCCGGTGGTTGTTCTCTACCATGACGGTGAAGGGGACCAGTGCAGGGTCCTGGGAGCAGAGAGAAGCAAACTGGTAGATGCAGCTCCCTTGGAAGTCATAGCGGCGCCCATCAAAGGTGGTGTAGTGGGGGTCCCCAGTACCGATACATGTGGAAAAGGTGTTGGCCTTGCAACTCCGGACTCCATTCACCATGGTACACTTCTCATGGGCCTTGCAGCTGGACTCCTTACAGGTCACCGAGCCCAGGACTGGGTCACACCGGCACCGAGTGCGGCAGTTCTTATCGGCCCAGAACTCCTCTCTGGGCTTGTAATGATGACCATCGTGGCTACAGCCACAGCTCTCCTCGGGGATGCAGTGCCTGGCATGGAGGACGTAGCCGGGGTCGCACTGGCATGAATTCTCACAGGGCTTCTGGCAGGAGGACGCGGCAGCTGGGTCAGAGCAGGTGGCTGGGCAGGCCGTGCCACAGGCCTCGTAGTGGCTGTTCTTGGGGCAGGACAGAGCTGGGATTGGGGCAGAGAGAGGGAGACTTAGCAACTAGTGCTAGGGACTGGACAACCCACTTGGATGTAGTGAGAGAGACAGGCAAGTTCTAGCTGGAGCATAGCTAAGGGTGGGTAACTGGGGGCTGAGGCCCAGGTACCAACCTCCCAGGGGCACCAGAATGGACCTCAAGTGGGCACTACACTGGACCTCAATGGGTTGCCATAATGGTTCTCAAGGGGGCACTAGACTGGATTTAAGGGGGTACCATTACGAACTTCACCCCTGGTAGTGCCCTGGAGTAGCAAAAGGGGGTGCTCTCCCATGCCAGGCAGTACCAGCACTAATGACCCAGCCCCAAAGCTCAGGTCCCTTCACCCATCTCATGATGAGACCACCTGACCCACCCCCTAGGTCTCCATCACCGCCATCGCCCTTACCACAGCCTGACAGAGTCCTCCAGTCGCCAATGGTAGCCCCATGGTGCCTGCAGGTGGCTGCATATTTCTCCAGCTCCTGGCACAGCATCTGTTGCTCCCCGCTGGCCAGGCAGAGTTTGGTGAGGCACGTGTCGAAGGGGCCAGTGGGGTCTGTAGCAGTGTGGCAGTCCCTGAAGGGCCCTTCCGGCAATTGGAGGAGCCCACAGTGCTCTTCATCCCCAAAGAGCTGCCTCTGGGTCGGCTGGCACAGCTCACACAGGCCTTGGCACTCCTCACAGGCCGGGTCTCCGTCCTCCACCTTCCAGCTCCCCATCCAGGCACCTCCAGACAAGGCCCTGGTGTCATTGGCATATGCCGCATCATCTTCTACATCCCCATTGAAGTTCCCACACAGCCCACAGGTGCTCCCAAAATAGCTGCTGGGCACGGTTGCAATCATGGTCCAGTCACCATCGTATGTCACCTGCAGCCCAAAATCGGCTCGGAGAACAATACGGCCATCACCCTGGGAGAGCTGGAGCTTCCCACCCTCCATGGTGGCTGGGAGGGGGATGACCTGGTCATTGACCTGAAAAGAGAGGAGAGGTCATTGAGCTGAGATGGGAAATGAGGTCTCATCATGGGTAGATCTAGGATGTTGAGAAGTGGGGTGTGGTGGGTGTAGGACATCATCCCATAGAGCTCAACACCTATTTTTCTCTAGGGAAAG